TGTAGTAGTCAAGACCTTTCTTCCTGCTACTTTAACGAACTCGTCAATCGGCAATCTTTTGGCTGGTATGCCTAATTTTTGAGCTTTTTCAAAACATAAATTTTTATATCTATTCTTATCAACAATACCACCGACTATATAGGTTATACCTGGTTCTAATTTATCAATTTTTTCATCTGTATCTGCTGTCAAATAGATTAGTTTTGATTTGTCTTCATTGTTAGTCAAAATATCTTCGTTTTCAATAAATTCAAAGTTTTTCCAATTGTCATATCTTGAATTGTACGCAAGTTTGTCAAATCTTTCCTTTAATCTTTTATTAAAACTTGTAATTTTAATGTTGGCAAAATAATTTTCACGTTTATTACTACCATAAGCTCTTGTAATCTGGTTGTCCATCGATGCAACCTCTTTATCATTCATCAAATCATCAAATGCACAATCTATAATAATATTAATACCAGAATCTTTTTGATTTTGATTAACTCGAGGTGCCTTTTTCAATTCCTCTGGAATTTCTTTACCACTTTCAACAATCTTTTGAATCTGTAACCTCCTGTTCTCTCTAGACTTCTTCCTCTTATCCCTCTTCATCTTATTATGCTCATCTTTGGTACGCTCATGCTCAAGCTTCTTGCATTGTCTTTTCCATTGTCTTTTAGAGATACCTTCAGGAGCCGGTGGGTAATAAGTTCTCTTTAAATCGTTCTCAGAACTGGATTCAACTTTACCAACTTCACTATCACTCATAATCCAACTTAATAATTAATTACAAAGGCACACACAGGATACTCTTTTGACCGACAATCAGACCAATTCTTAAAGCCTAACCTACTTATCATCTCATCTCATCCCATAATAAAATTTAAATATTTTGATCAAAAATTTTTCAGCTTAGAATCTAAAGGCTTTAGTGTTAAAAATTATGAAAGATTCAAGAAGTTTAACTACTTGAACATTTGAATGAATTGAAAAGAAGGTTTGGTTGTATACAAGGACCCATTACAGTGTTGGCTATAGAGATCAAGGTCTGGGTATTGTTTATCAGTGTGCTTTCTTTTATTAATATTTTGGAAGAGGGTCAATTTTGAAGATATTAAGGACATTCTTAATTAAAATATCAAACGCGTAATAGTATAAAGCAAGAGATTTCTTTTATATATTTGAATTGAATATATATATTGGCCATATTAACAATTTTCATATTATAGGAATATGAGTAAAGCAGCTTTGAATTTGGAGTTACCATGGGTAGAAAAATATCGTCCACATGTATTAAAGGATATTGTTGGCAATGAGGATACTATTGAAAGATTGAAACAAATTGCAAAAGATGGTAATATGCCTCATATGATTATCTCTGGTATGCCAGGTATTGGTAAGACTACATCTATACATTGTCTTGCGCATGAATTATTAGGTGATTCTTATTCGCAAGCAGTCTTAGAATTAAATGCTTCTGACGATAGAGGTATTGATGTTGTAAGAAACCAAATCAAACATTTTGCTCAAAAGAAGTGCCATTTACCCTCCAGGTAAACATAAGATTATTATATTAGATGAAGCCGATTCGATGACTGCAGGTGCCCAACAAGCGTTAAGAAGAACAATGGAATTATATTCAAATACCACTAGATTTGCCTTTGCTTGCAATCAATCAAATAAAATTATAGAACCATTACAAAGTAGATGTGCAATTTTACGTTATTCAAAATTAAATGATGAACAGGTTTTGAAGAGACTATTAGAAATAATCGAATTTGAAAATGTTAAATATACAAACGATGGTTTAGAAGCCATCATTTTCACAGCAGAAGGTGATATGAGACAAGCTATTAATAATTTACAAAGTACAGTTGCAGGTCATGGTCTAGTGAATGGCGATAATGTATTTAAAATAGTAGATTCACCACATCCATTAATTGTTAAAAAAATGATTATGGCACCAACCTTAGATGATTCAATTGCAATTTTAAAAAATGAATTATGGGATAAAGGTTACTCTGCAGTAGACATAGTAACCACTAGTTTCCGTGTAACCAAAACTTTATTTGAATTAAAAGAATCTAAACGTTTAGAGATGATTAAAGAAATTGGTATAACTCATATGAGAATTCTAGAAGGTGTAGGAACTTATCTGCAATTGGCTGCACTTCTAGCAAAATTACGTAAAATAAATTAGAATAAAATAAGGAGAATCAGCAATAAGCAGACAATCGTTAATATATATATATCTAAGTATTGTATAAAACTCACATCAAAACTCAGCATTTTAATAGCCCTTTATTATCTTTATCTCTCTATATTACGTCAATGTAGCGATTATCACACACATTATCAAAAATTGAAAAAATATTGTATACATACAAAACGCTATTGAATTAAGAGTATTAATAAAAGTTCGAAGTTGATACTAAACTAGGTATAGAAGGTCAGGAGTTTAGGATTACAATCAATACTTTGGTTATTACTCTGTCTGTAGTTCAAGGAAGGAGGTTTCTTCGTTTATTTTTGAGTTTTAAATGGAGACTTTAGGGAATATTTTGGGTGTTCCACCATCTAGTTTAAATAGTAGTATTGATAATGCTTTGCAAGATTCAGATCCATTTGAAGACTTTATAAAGGAAACTCAGAGGACTAAAGAACTTACACCAGATGGCAATCTTTTAGATGAATTGGAAAAGCTGCAATCAAAACATGATAAACTCGAGGTAACTTTGAAGAATGTTATACCTCCTTTACATGATTATATGGTTGATTTTAATACTAGATTATCAGAGTATACTAGAGATTTAGGTTATATTAGAAATAAATCATCTGAATTGAAAGAACTTTTAGAATATAACTCAACTAAATTGGCAAACGTAAGTCCATTGGTTAATGATTTAATAGTTCCACCTTCTATAGTGAACGAAATAATTTCTGGTAAGATTAATAGTGACTGGCAAGAGAACATTGCATTCATGAGAGATAAAATGATGATTTATGAAAAATATAAGGTAGAAAACAATGAATCTCAATTAAACGTTCCAAAAGATTTCGATGCACTTTATAAAATATTGGAAGATCTAAGGACAATTATACTCGAACGTTCTAAAAAATATATAATTCATGCAATTAAAGCATTAAGAAATTATCATCCTGTCCCATCTCAAAAGATACAAAAAGGATTGTTAGAAGTGAAGGACATTTTCCAATACATTGTTGAAAACAATTATTCTCTGGCTTTGGAATTAAGACAGGCTTATTCATATACAATGAGATGGTACTACAAAAATTATTTCAGTCGTTATATCAGATCTTTGACAATTTTGCAATTCAGAAATATTGACGCCCAATATTTTTTAGGTAACGGTTTGTCTAATACATCGGTTAACTACTTAAATGGTTACTCAATAACTAATTATTTGACCGCAAGCTATTCAAAAGGTGCAGGTTATACAACTGATGAATCTATACAAGAATATTTTCAAGTAGATAAAAGACTATCCGTCTTAACACAAGAAGATAATACTGTAATGGTTTCACAAATTGCAGAAAATAATACAATGGAAACATATGTTGAAATTGGGTTCCGAAATTTAAACCTTGCATTATTAGACAACTGTGTCGTTGAATCAAAATTTTTAAGTGATTTTTTCAGAGTGAGTGATAATACAGAAGAGGTGGCAGGTATTTTAGAGCAGATATTCCAACCAACTCTTGATGAAGTGTTAGAATACACAAAACAATTGATTTTCTACACATATGATATATTTGGCATCCTTCTGAGTATCAGAATAGCGCAACAGTTGCAATTAGAAGCAGAAAACAATGGGATTAATATCATATCCGACTTCATGACCTCCCAATTAATGTTGCTGTGGCCAAAGTTCCAGCAATTAGTCGATTTCCAATGTGATAATTTAAAGAAAGTAGTCATAACTACAAACGTCGCTAAGTTGACAAATGTTTCATCAAATAACGATCCACTAACAACACCACATGAACTTACTGTACAATTTTCAAAACTATTATGTAGTTTCCTAACAGTCGCAATTACACACACTGAAGGGATTGATGAAAGATCTGAACCATTATACAATTCAATTATTAGAATAAGAAAAGAATTCGAAGCTGTTCTTGGAAAATGTAGTAAAAAAACGAAATCTCCTGAAAGATTCTTAGCTACAAACTATATGTATCTATACAATGTTTTACAACAACAGCGACTAAAATTGGAAGGTAGTGATAACACCAATTTACCAATTTTAATAGAGGAAACAGAAAACCATTACGCTCAATTAGTTCATTCATTTAATACAATGAAATAATGAATATTGGATCAAAAAAATAGTCAACGTTGATCGTGTTCGATATGAATTTATCTTATTTATTCGCCAAATTTCACTTACTTTCTCTTATTTGAATCTGGACTATTATACCCTGTTGGAAATTCAACTGACAATCAAATTAACCAAAAAATATAGCATTTAGATAGATAATCTAATGGATTACAGAAACAACATCATGTCTTGTTAATATAGTTTTGTTGCTTATATCATTATCATGATATCACGTGCTTTGAATATATCTTAAAATTTCATATAGATCAAAGGGCATCCCATTCTTTAAGTATTAAATATCAGGTTAACTCATCATCTTACCATGTTCTAAATAGAACAAGTAAATGATTAGTAACGATAAACTATTAAATATATTTAACTTGAATATTTAATTGATTAGATATATGAATCGATATATTGTCATACTTCAGAGGGTCTTTTATGCAATTGACAAAATCGCAAGAAACTGTGGTTGAATTTCCATATGAACCTGAAAGTACTTTAAAAATAATTGCTGGCCCTGGGTCTGGTAAGACTATTACGCTATTACACAGAGTTAAAAAATTGATTGATAGTGGAATTGCCAAACCTGACGAAATTTTAATCCTTTCGTTGACAAACAAGGCTGTTGACAATATTTTAGATAAGTTGCTAGACTTATTCGAGCAGAAAAATGGCAACCCATCGATTGAATTTGCTGAAGAAAATGATCCAATTACACGCATAGTATCTCAAATAGGTGTTTATACAATTCATGGGTTGGCAAATAGGATAGTTATTGAGAATGAGGGACTGCTTGAAATTATCGAGGAAAATGGTTGGAAGGTCTTAATGAAACTGGTATCTTCTGAGTTTTGGAAGAACTCAAAACCAACTGCTCGTGAGTTTGAACGTCTTTATAATCAGTACAAAAATTCACCAAATGGTAAGGACGTCGTAGAAAAAATATCAAAGTTAATGATTGTAAGTAAAGTCGTTACCAATAACGAGTTAATTATCAGAGCCTCAGAACACTTGCTGTCATTAGATAGTTTTGATGATTCAAAAAAGGGAATTGAGTTTACATCAACAATAAAAAATGATGTGAAGATTGTCATGATTGATGAATTCCAAGATCTTTATCCTACACTATTGCCACTCCTAACATCCATATCAAAGGGAAAGAGATTGGAGATATATGGTGATACTAACCAAAGCATCTATCAATTTTTAGGGAATAATAAAGAAGTGATTAAGGCAATAGATGAAATACATCCCCAAGATAAATTAGTGACCTTGAAACTAGATGATAATTTTAGATCTACTCCTGAAATAACTAACCTTGCTAATACTATAGTTAACAAATATGGTACCGATTCTAATTATTTGAAGACAGGTTATTCAAAATCACCCTCAGGAGTGCAACCACTAGTAATTCAAACACAGAATTCCATTGAAGAGTTGGATTACATTATAGAGAGGATTGTTGAACTATCTTGTAGTTCCGTGAAACTTTCAGATATTGCTATTTTAGCAAGAACAAATGCAAAATTAGATATGATAAATAATTTTATATCTGATTATGGTATACCTACTCAGAAACTGTCTGCATATCCTGAATGGGTAGAAAATCCGTCGATTAGATTTCTCATAGACATACTGAAAATAATATCAGTGACATCTAAGCAGAATAATGGAGAAATAAGTTACACAAATAGAACTAGCGACTTTAATATTCTTTCTTTATTAAGTGATATCAATGGAATTGGTCAAGATAGCTTACAAAAACTTCATAGTGAATGTTTGTTAAGAAACATTTCCCTTTGGAAGCAAATAACTTCAGTTTCCAGTAGTAATTGGTCGGTTAATCCCAGCAGTAAGAAGAGAATATCAGAAGTAGCTAAAATTTTATTACCTCAGGTCGAATCCTGTACATTATCCACAATTGAAGAACCGTTAGCATTTTTGGAGACACTGTGCGCTCTGGCCAACCAACTAAATAGCAAACAGCTTATATTTAACTCAGAGAGAGAAATGATTAAATTCCAGAATAATTTAGAAGAGTTTTTAAAAGTTTTGAAGCTTTGTAAATTTAATCTCCCTGAAGGAGTTACTCTGCTAGATTGGTTTTTAGAGACATATTTGGACCAAAGCTTGGTGTTGCATAATAGATCTTCCCATATGGACGATAAAGAGCAAGGGAAGATAAATCTTTCGACTATTCATTCGTCAAAGGGATTAGAGTTTCCAGATGTGATGTTGATTGGAGATCTTCAAAACAAATTTCAATTGAACATAATGTTCTAATATGTGGCTCTTACTCCTGCAAAAAATTTACTCTAATTGGTTAACGTTTATCACCCCCAAATGCATAAAATATGGGTAAACCCAACTAAAAAAGTAACTTTAATGAATCTTTTGGCCGTTATAAAACCATGACTTACAGACCTTTTGAAAATAAAAAAGGGATATGCTAGTTTTTTAATTCCCCAAACTTTCCCTTGGATTTCAACAAAGCGTCCTTCCATCCTGCCTAAAATCTTCAAACGTTTCGAGTTTCCGAAACCTTAAATGTTTTTATTAGGCATTAAAATTATTGAACTTGGAAACCTTAAGGTTTTCTTTAACTGGAAACCCCCCCCAAACCCCAAAAAGGGGAAGTTTCTCAACTTAACAAGACGGGTTTGTTTTTAGCCGACCCAAGGACACCTTGAAAAAATCTTTTAAATATTTTTATTTAACCCGCGGGGTTTCTCTGTATCCGGAGAAATTTCTTCAAG